AGGGGTGGGAGAGGGTGGAAGAGGGTGGGAGGGATGGGAAGGGTGGGAGGGGAGGGAGGGAGAAGGGGATTGAGGAGTATTATGTTTAGTACACATGGTGTGGGGGGATCACAGGGGAAGACAGTGTAGCACAGAGAATGCAAATAGTGAATCTGTGGCATCTTACTATACTGATGGGCAGTGACTGCACTGGGGCATGGGGGGGAACTTGATAATATGGGTAAATGTAGTAACCACATTGTTTTTTCATGTGAAACCTTCATAAGAGTGTATAGCAATAACACCTTAATAAAAAAAAAAAAGGACTGGAGTGCAGTGGGGGTAGTGAAGGTGGCAGCATGAGCAAGAGGACTGAACCCCTTGCTGAACACTGTGCCCACCTGCCTACTGAGCCAAAGACCCTCTCCTTGCTTTGGGGGAGGAGGGAGAGCAGCACAGCAGCCAAATGGCTGGGTCCTGGGGACCTCAGTAGGAGTCTCTAGGCTAGGTCATCACCTCCCTGAATAACCCTGCACGGAAAGGTCCACCCAGTGGCCTAAACAGAGAGAGGAAGTGAAGACCAAGCTGAGAGGAACCTGACAACTTTCTCAGGGGCCCAGTGGGGACAGGGAGGATGCAGAGGTTGGGGGCCAACTCCAGATATCTGAGGGAGGGGAGCTCAGAAACCAATTCTGCCTGGGATGGAACTCAAGGTCTTTATCTGGTCTTGCAAGAGCTGTTCATAGCTGGGTCAGGAGATGCTGTGGGGAGCCAGGGAACCCAAGACAACCAGCTTTACTCCTTCGCTTTAATGGGAGGGAGGGGAGTGGGTGGAACAAAGATAGAAAAGCAGGCTTTCCTGTCCCTGGCCTCTTGTGGCTCTTTCAAGCTGGCGCAGGGGTGTGGAAGCTGGAAGAGAGGGGAGATGACTGATGGGCTCTTGGGGTTCTTCAGTCCCACAATGGTCCTGCCTGGGCATGATGGGGCAGCAACCCCCAATCTGGGAGGATTTATTTATCAGTTGTCATGGTAATGGTGGGGCTATGACTCAACCCCATCCCCTCTCTCCTCCACCCTCAGCATCACCTGGGATTCCTTAATCCCTTTTTAATTAGCCAAACTGCCCCTCCAGACTTTCTTCTACCTTCCCAGCCCTCCAGTCCTGAAGAAAACACTCCCTAGGGACCTCCTCCACTTATCCCTGGCAAGCCTTGGGATGCTGGCCTCTCACCCCACACTGAACTCCTGCCTGAACAGGAAGGCATTAGGCTTGCCTGCACCAGTGTGAAGGTCTACACGTCTCCAGCACAGGCAGGTCCTGCACCCTCACTATCCCCTTCAGAGAGGAGATAGAGGGACTTGGTCCCCTTCTCAGCTCTGGATCCCCAAAGCCCTGTCCCTTCGAGTCCATCCTCCCTTCCTCTCCAGAGAGAACTGGAGACTGGGATGGATGACCAGGGAAAAGCAAGAGAAAGACGACAGAACACCTACATCCACACCCAAGCTCTTTCTCCTCTATTCCTACATCCAGGGACTTACACATTTCAAGGTACACTGGCTCTTCTATTTACGCTCCTAGCCTAAGTATTCTCTATTACATCACACTGCTTTCTTTCCTCCAAAAGGGGGCCCCTACAGATTGTCTTCTGATTTACTGGGTACTAGTTAAGGCCCACATTATTTGAATTCTGCTCATGGTCCTCTGTGTTCCCTGCTCAGCCTGGGTTCCTCCTCTGCATCCGCCCACAAACCACGAGAGGTGGGGCTTGATGCACAGTAACTAGGTTACACTCCACCCTGTCTGCGCAGCCCCCAGCCCACTCTCCCAACCAAAATTGCAGAACTGGGTGGGGGACCCAACAGCTGCCCTTGACCCACTCCATCCAACTGGCCTCAGTGTAGGAAACACAGTGTTCTCCACTTCCAGAGCCAAGAGACAGCAGATCCAGATCCTGATCCTTGGGAAAAACCCGCCCAACCATTCCTTCTGTCTCAACTCTGAGGAGGGCAGCACTACAGTTGGTCTACGGATAGGGTGGGACGCTTCCTTAAGGGGAAGACCAGGAGGATGAAACACTAATGGTATTCTACAACCCACTCCCCACCTGCAGAGCAGTTCAGACTGCTGACAGCCCGGAAGACTAGGTCCCCGTACAGTCTGCCTTCTTCAAGAGAGGAACCACCCAACCCTCCTGGTGTGAGTAGCCCAATTCCTCTGCTCCTCTCTAATCCTCTCCCGCTTCCGGCAAAGTCCTCTCCAGCCCTCCAGCCATCTCAGAGCATTAGAGGGCAAGGCGGGGGAAGTTTGGCCTCCCTGACAGATCCTTGCATTTTAACACTCCCTCCTAGGTGTGTTAGGGCTACTGGGAACCTAGAGGAGATGGTAGGCTTGGCCCCTGGAGTCAGAGTTGCTAGAATCTCGATGCTGGTCCCTCTATCTGTCTCAGACGACTCTTAGTTTGAATAAGAATCAAAAGGACCTGGGTTCAAATCCTAACTCCTATTACTTACTAGCCACTGACCTTGAGCAAGTGACCTTCACTTCTTTAAGACTCAATTTCTTCATCAGTAAAATAGGCATACTATTACTTTCATCTCCAAACATGGGTGGGAAGACCAAATAGGGTAAGTGTCAAGTGCTCAGCATGGCACCTGACACCTGGCAGGGGATCAATACACATTTCTGCCTTTCCCTAAATCAGGAAATGGGGGTTATACTGGAACATGCCAACATATTAGTGTTCCCTAAACATTAAGCCATCCCAAAGCTACAACAGACTGGAACTGCCAGTCACAAAGAAGGAAATGATCTTTCATCTCAGCCTTTACCTCCAACTCAAACAGCCCCTAACCAGAAGGGCCCCAGGACTGGTTACTGTTTCCCTACAGCAGATGATGAGTCCTCAAATTTCTCTACCTGGGCCAACCAACTGTCCTCCCAGTGTTTCTCCTCAAATCATGTCTAATCAATAAACATGTTCTACAACTTTAGTGGGGGAAGGCGGAACCCTTTCCTTGGGTTCTCAAGCCCCCTGCTTTCTGCACCAGCCTCAACACACAAAATCCTTATGAGGCCAAACAGGTGAACTGGATGCCACAGAGTGGAGGCTGCAGGCTAGAGTGTACAGAGTCTACTGCACCCCAACTCCTCCCTTGTACCGGTAGCACCTTCTTTCCTGCTAGTATCTACCCTTCTCCTCTTGCCAGCAGAGACCCTAATCCCTCTTGACAGGAGCAAGAGGGCTCAGTGCCTCCAGGGCCTTGAAGCAGCTGAAACAGGAACCAAACATGCTCCCCACCAGCCAGCTCAGGTCCCAACACGGTCTTCTCCTGGGTTGGGTCTGGGGAGGACCCTGGGAGTGCGATGCCTCATTCACCCCAATTTGTGTACCAAAGTTGTTGCCCTGTCACTAAGGAGTTGTCAAAGGGGCGATGAATAGGAAACAAAGACAGAATGAATCTAATCCCCCAGCTTTACCTAGGGCCCCCCCACCCTCCACACATTACCTCACTTTGCAAGGCCTGGAGGCAGGGATGAAATAAGGAACAACACCCCCATCCCTAAGCAAACACAGCAGCAATTCTTCAACACTTCAGAGCTCTGGGAAGGGGCGCTCTTTAGGAGGGGAAACAGGCCACAGGTAATAGGGGAAAAATTCCACTCAAGAAAGAGCCAGGTCTGTCTGTATACAGATACTCAGCTCGAACAACACAACTAAACTAACAACTGCTGAATCTAGACAGTGGATGGACAGGTTTTCACTGTACTGCATTTTCAGCTTCTCTGTATGTCTGGAATTTTTCAAAAGGAAATGTTAAAGGAAAAAAAAGGGTCAAGAATCAAATTAGCTCTTTTTTATGTGAAGAACCAGTGAGAAGGAAGAGAGAGGATAATTGAGACTCCAAAACTGAGAGAAAGGGCTAGGAGTAAAGGAATTCCAAAGCAGTCAAGGAAACTTACCTAGAAGGAATTGGCTAAAAAAAACTAGCCAGGAGAATCCCAGGGGATGTGGGAGTTTAAGCCCAGGAAGTCCAGACTTGTCTTCAGAAAAGGGGTGGGAGGAGGACAGACTTAGGTAGAAGGGAATAGCAGAAATTAGAGAGTGGAAAGGGCCATGGGTGGGAGGGTCAAAGAATGAATATCTAGGCTTAGTTTTGCTACTAATTTGTTGCTTGACATTTGAGCAAGTCTCTTCACTTTACTCTGGGACTGCCTTTCCATCAACAGAGGCTATTTGGGAATGTGAAGGCTATCACAATGACTAGGGGAGGGGACTGCCAGCATCCTGTGTCTGCGAGCCAGGAAAGCTAAACGTCCTACACATCTAGGAACTGTCTCACCACCTAAAATGCCACCAGTCTCTACATTAAGAAACCCTGGACTATATGACATCAAAGCCTCTCCCAAACCTTTATGGTTCTAGGACTCTCTATGGGAGCATCACCCAGGGCAGGAGAAACAGGCTTCAACAGCAGAGGTCTGAGGTTCCAGGGAAGGGCTTGCCACAGAGGGGGCCATGAAAAAGAGAAAGAACAAGAAGAAAAACTGCTGTGCTATACATCATTAGAAATAGGAGGCACAGGCATGGCCTAAATGACCTCTCCCAGGTTTCTCCAGGCTACACAACTGTGACCCACTGGATCAGAAATAAAATAGATGATCAGAAGGCACAAGGTGGGAAAAGCCAAGAAACAAGTGGTTGAGGGCTAAAGAGATGGAAGAAACTGAGTTAAGTCACCCTCATTTGAAAAATGGGGTAGTTGGGCAAGATCAAAGAGAGGCATATATTCTTCAAGAGGTGCATGCCCAAGTCTGCCCCAGAGGAGCAAGTGCTCAGGGAGTAGTATGCCTACCCTGCCAGCTGTCCCAACAGCTTGGGTGGGGTCAGGGTCTGAGAGAAGAGCTAAACTCAACAGCTTATGTCTAAGAAAGAAAAAATTCTTAAATGTATGACCTGAGGGTACTAAGAGATGGCAGAGAGGAAGGAAAGCTATTTATAACTGTCTTCAGGATTCTACATCAGTTAGAAAAGATTGCCTGGGAGGAGCTGGGAGCAGAATGGGGGCAGGTCCAGGCACAGAAAGGATGCCAGGAAAACACTCTTGAGAGGTCAGGGACAAGAGCTGGAACATTGCCCTGGCCCAGTCCCAAGTTCAACTCTGTAGATGTCAAGATGATGGTAGAAGAGGTAGAGAAAGGAAAGAGGTGAAGGTGAAGGAGTGGGCATCTGAGGTCTGGCTCATAGGCCCAGCAGTCCTTGTTCCCTAATGACAGAAGGGGGTATAGAGCGTCAGAAGCAGCAGGAGGGCACATTTTCTGCCATTTTCCTTGAGTTTGACTCACCTTGAACTCCAGAAGTGGGGAAGCCTTGTTCATAATCCACTCCCACCCCCCACTGCTTCTGTTTTGCTATCAAAGGCTGAACTGAAAACAGCCTGGGTTGGGGTGAGAAGGCCAGAGGGCGGAGAAAAAGGTTGAGTCCAGAGCAAGAGGGCAGCAGAGGGACAATTCAAAGTGGGAGGCCTAGGCAGCCCATTAGAGGTCAGGGCCAGACCCCTGACTCAGCATCCATTCACTCCCAAGCCAGCATGAGGCGCAGAGCGTAGATAAGAAGAATTTCCCTCTCTCAGGGTCCATACACTTCCCAAGAGAGTTTAAAATTCAAGGAGACACTAAAGCAGGAATGATGAGAAGATATATAAAAAAGCAAGTATTAGAAGGTCAAGAATTCCCACTGAATCTTCACCTGCTTATATTCTCACCCTCTGTAAGACTGGGGGGAAGACAGAAGAGACTGACACTGATACCACTCAAAAAAAGTCCTCAAAGAACTTCCCCCTACATAAGTGGGACTTATGATCACACCTGTCCCATGACATGGTGAATGGAAAGCCTGGGCCAGCTGAGCTGGGGTCAAGCCAAAAGGTGGCATCAGGCATCCTGTCTCCAAATGAGCCCGGCCTCTCAAAGGCAGGTGTGCAGGGAAGCAGAGAGTGCTAGGTGCTGAAGAAACCAAATGAACCAAAGGAAAACTATGATTTGTTCTGCGGATAAAGCGTCTAGCCTGAGCTCTCAAATGAAGGGGAAGGGAAACAGAATCAGAGCTAAGGAGAACACAGATTTGGACTCCAAGAACTATGTCAAGGCCTCTGGCTACCTTGCCAAAATTCCTAGTTCCCAAAACCTTACAAAAGACACTGTCCTCACTCTTCATTCTAAGTAATTCAGACACACATCTGTGGCCCACAGGTGTTCAGTCCAGCCCTCCCGCCCAACCCCCAACTGCCCTACAGCCCCATACTTACAGTTCCACAGACTCTGACGTCATGCAGCCGGCCCCATTCATCCTCATAACTGTCCACCATCATGACACTGTCATCCTCACGGCCCAGCTCAGCATTGAGGTGCAGCCGCACTTCCTCACCCAGGGAATGCATGCCCACTGCAGGGAACAGCCCATCTGGGGACATGGGCATGATGGTGGAGCCCACCTGCAGCAAAGGGAGGTAGGGAGAAAGCTGCCACCTGGATCACTTTTCCATAGCTCATCTAATTCTCACAAGGTACCTGAGATGATGCAACAACAATTATCACACACACTATCAGAGAAAAAAAGAACTACACAAGTTTTTAAAAAGTTGCCAAGTACTCCTGGCTGAGCAAGGTATCCACGGAGCTAGAAGGCAAACACAAGTCTCCAGACTTGCTGCCAAATACTTCTGGTGCGTGTGATGAATGCTGGAGCAGGAAAGTGCTGAGGCAGTAGGACCGCTCCACCAAGGCTTGAGAAAACAATTTTCCCAGGGTTAGAGGTGGAGCTGGGTAGAAGAAAGAGAGCTGGAGGTAGAGGGGGTCTCTCTCTTCTATTTGCTTTTATCCCATCTCTTCACCCCTACTAGTCTCTCTAAAGAGGAAAGGAGAGGAGAACTGAAATGAGGGAAATAACACACAGAAAGGACATATCTTCAAAAGCATTCAAGTCAAAAATCCAAAAAGGACCTTCAGCTTAGGCAGCCAGGCCATAATCTCCACCTCTTGTTGTTTTATGCTCAAAACCTTCCCCAAAATCACCTAGTTCTGTCCCCCCCAATTTCTGCTCATCCTCCACTGCACTAACGTGTCCCTCTGCATCTATCGTCTGGGTACTGTCCCAGCTTTCCCTGGGTGAGGGAAGTGTCTTCTACTACATGCAGGAGACCAGGAATATCTGAAACTGGATAGAGGAGATAGGTCCCTGGGCAAGCCTCTTGCTTATCACTCCCACAAATCCTTGGACAGCTTTAAGTCACGTAAATCCCTCCCAGGAGTTCCCACTTACCCGCTTCCCATTTTTGGTGAAGAAGATCTGAGCAGTCTGCACATCAAAGGACACTGGCTCAATGCCGCAGCCAATTCGGTCTCCAGAGTTGCACTTTGACCCAAACTGGCGGCCCTTGGCTCGGCCATTGTACAGCCTGTTTACAGAACAACACAGACACAGGACCTGAGCCTGGCCTCCCAACTTCTCCCCAGTACTGAAAGCTCAGGCCTTGTCTTGCCACTCCCAGTCACTCTGCAATGGCACCTACCTCTGTCCTATGTGAGCTTTCCCCCTCCCCTCTAAGTCTGCACACCTCCAAGGGTTGCTATGAGGCTTGTTCTGATCAGAAAAATCTATAAAAAATACCCCAAGATAGGTGAAGGAATAGCATAGCAAAAGCCACCTTGAAGTAGTCCTCAAAATCTAAGATTCCTGAGTCCATAGGAAAGGGGACAGGCCCCACAGGAGGCAACTCACTTGCCATCATCAGCATGGTAGGCTACAGAGTCAGGCAACCAGCCAGGCTGGTGATCCAAGCTGTAGTACTGAGGGACCAGCCCCACAGCAATGGTGCCCCGGACCCCACTGTCCACAATAGACACCTAGAGGGAGGAGAGCAGGGCATAGTTAGCAAGGATGGGAAATGGGATGAACTCCTGGGAGTACAGGGAGGGGAGCTAGACATCAAAGGGGGCTGAGACTCAAAGAGATAAAAGACATAGGGATCAGAGAAAGACATGGCACTTGCAGGGAGAACTGCAGAGAGCAGGGGCCTACTTTACCACAATTACTTAGAAAATCATTTCCAAGCTATGGAAAAACCAAGAAAATACAGTAAATGCAGGCTTAGGTTAGAGCATAGAAAAAGACATGGGTCTAAGTCTGGGATATGGGCCAAAGTCCACCAACGTGAGGAACAGAAGAGCAGAAGGGACAGGGTGATAGGACTCCAGGGCACCTATCTCTCAGATTAGGCACCATGCTATCCTGTGCCCTTTCCCAGCAAAAAGGACAGCCCTGATGGAAATTTAAAGAACTAGATCAAGAGCTCCTTGGAGCTTAACAATCTCTTTCCCAGCTCTGCACACCCACTGCCTCCATCACCTCAAAATAATTGCTGTCCTTGGTCAGGGGTCGAGAAGCCACGTAGCAGCCAACTTCACCAGAGTTTCCATGGTAACTGAAGAAGGAATGATGGGGGAGTTCCATTAGCAGCTTAGCCTGGGAGTCGGCAGGAGGGCCTCAGCATTCCCAACCCCCACCCTGTGAGGGCCAGCACAGAGAATCCATCAGGCCACACTTCAGGACATCTGCACAGACACCACAACAAGATACATGGGGTCACCTATCCCTCCCACTGACTCCAGCCAGGGTCCAACCCACAGCAAACCAACTCAAGCCTGGCTTCTTCATTTCCATGGGGAAAAGAATGCAGAGCCTCCCTTTGTTGCTTATTAGGAGTCTCACAACCCTGTCTAACCTCAATCCCTCATGCTGTAGCTTCGGCTCCTTTCCTCTGGCTCTGTCCTCAGTGGAGCTGGAGAATGGCTGGTCTCTATCCTCTGTGCTAAAGCCCTTTGTCAATTGGAAGCCAGTTATTCAGTCCTTACTCCTCAGCTTTCTTGTCTCTGGGCTAAAACAGCACTATTTCCTTCCCCTCTTCAGTGACAACTTTGTGTGAATGAGGCTCAGGAGTCAAGGAAGGGGTTCAAGCCAGGAAAGAGAGAGAAAACAAATACAAACACACAACTCAAAGGCTGGAAAGGATGGGCTTTCCATCTTTACACAGGTGGGCTGGATGCACTACAGAACTGTCCTTCCTGAAGTAGGAAACCCACTGCCTTTGAAATGGCCACTCTTCACCAAACCCAACCCAAGACACTGGCAGGAGACCCAGACAACCCACAAACCCAGTCAAGTCCTCTCAGCAAGGTCCTTGGGCAGCTCCTGAGACACCAGCAGCCTCCTACCTGACGTGATCACTTCAATATGGACCAAGCCAGAGTAACCCGATGACACGGCAGAAGGGAGTGCAGGGTGAAGGAGTACATGCTGTGCCTCAGAAAGACCTCCAGGGTCAACAGCAACCCCTCCCAGCACAGCGCAGACAGTCTTCTGCTTGGAAAAAAACTATTTTTCATCCCTACAATCTGGCACAGAAAGGAAAAGGGGGACACACTCCCCTAAACTCACCTCAAAGTGTCTCCATCTACAAGAATGTGCTTGAACCTCTCCTGATATCGGAAAGCCCGGACCTCCCGAATCTCCCGGATCCGCCGGCGCCAATTCAGAAACCGGTAGTGCAGGTTGAGGTCATCCATCTTGTTCATGAGAACAAAGCTGTCATGGGGAGAAGGGGATTGAGGAGGAAGTAGGGCCCTGAGCAAAACACCTCAGCCTGTTCAGCCCAGACTGTGGAGAGGGCATGGAACCTGAAGCCAGTTGCCCAGATGGACCTCCACAATCTCCATCCTCATCCTTTCGTTCAGCAAATATTTACTGAGCTATTACTATGCGCACTGTTCAAGGTGCCAGGGATACAGCTGTGAACAAGATGGATGCGATTCCTATTCTCATAGTGCTTCCATTCTAGTGGGCAAGATATGACAGACAGTAAATCAACAGACATGACAATGTTAGACAGTAGAAGAAAAAGCAGTCACCTATAAAGAATGACGGGATGGATGCTATCTGAAGTATACTTTGGATAGAGAGGACAGAGAAGCTGTCACCTCTCTTAGATGACATTTGAGTTGAGATGCACCAGACATGTGACAAGCCCAAGAAAGAGCATTCCAGACAGAGGAGACAGCCAGGACACCAGGACACAGGTCCTCAGGTGGAAGGGAGCTGGCATGGTAGAGAAATACAAAGGCCAGGGTGGCTGCTGTGTAAGGAATGTGAGGGAGAAGAAAAGAATGGGAGGAAGGCAGGGGCCAGATCAAGGCCCTACAGACTATGTTAAGGAGTTTGGATTTTATTCGAAGTGTGATGGGAAACCTGTGGAGGGTTTTAAGCAGGGAATAACAGGATTTTGAGGTGTATCACATCTTAAACCTCATTCAGGCTGTTAGTTGGAGAACTGATCATATGAAGAGCAAGAACTAAAATGGCCAACAATTACTTAGGAGGTCGTTGCAGCAGTTCAGATGAGAGATGGCGTCCACTAAGATGGTAACAGGGAGGACGGAGAGAAATAGGTATTTAAAGCAAGAATAGTGCTAACATAGGAATTAATTAATTAATTAATATAATTTTCCTGGGAGCCAAAGTGTGAGAAGGAGGAGGCACTTCTCTCTTCCTATCTCCCAAACCCTGGGACAGGGTTCCATCAAGGCCTGACAGTGCCTTGCACACAGTAGGTGCTTAGTTATCCTTGGCTGGGTTTAATTCAACCCAATGTACATATCACACCCTTCCGCAGTAACTACAAGCCACCACGTGGCCCAGAAAGGCGGGCATCTGAGAGGCGGCTGTAGGGCTGCCCTCCCGGGCTCTTGGCCTGGACTCCCCAGACCTGGGGGCGTCTGCTTGTCCAGAACCCCAAAGTCTAGGCATCGCAGAGTGACGGCCGCACCGGGCCCCGCCCCCAACCGGGGTGCGGCCTGGTCACTCTGACAGACCTGGGGGTAACGGGGCCCGACTCGCCAGTGTGACGCCCAGTCTCCCCAGGTCCCTCACTGAGCCGAGGAGGGTCCTGAGGGAAGAAACCCAGAGCCCGGAGCGCAAGGCCCCGCCTCTGGCCCCGAAGCCTCCGCCCAGGACCCCCCGCCTCCCGCCTCAGGCTCCCGGGAGACTCGAGGTCTCCGGGACCCCGCCCCCGATCCCCGCCTACCGGGGCCGCCGCGTCCTCCTCATCCATAGGCCTCTCAGCTCCGCACACTAGCTCTTCGGCCGCCGCCACCACACACATCCGGGTCCCCGCCCTTCCTACGCTCCCCGAGACCCTGCCCTCCCCACCACCTCAGCCATTCTTCAGTGGCCTAGGATGACAGGCACCTGCAGAAGCCAATCGGAGGACGCAGGTAAGGCCGGGCGCGGCCCGGTGAACTGGGTACACCGCACTGGGCAGGGGCTGGTAAACCGGATAGTGGAGAGGTGGGAGGTGACGACGTGGCTGCGCGGACGCCGCGCTGGGCGCCCTGGAGCTGACTGGGCGGGGCAGACGGAGAAGGTCCGAACGCACGAACGAACGCTGGGAATATTTCCTGTGCAGCCTTTCTGGGCCATATGTGATACCAAAAGCTTCGTAGGAACATCCTATTAATCCACTTAGCAACCTTACGAAATGAAACTTATTATCTGCTTTTTGCCGATGAAGATCCTGAGGCTGGCCTCCATAGCTCGTGTTCTTCACTGTTAACCATATGCTTCAGAATCTCCCAAGCTCCATTTCATGGCACCTTTCGTTCTCTCTGGGAAGGACATTCCAGTCCAGGAAGAGAGAACTTAGGATGCAAAAAGCACAGTGGCATGAAATGTCATGCTGTTCAGGAAAAGAGGGGTGTGGTGTGACTTAAGGGAAGTTAGGCTGGGTCATAATATGAAGGAAGAAGGGTAGCAACATTTATTGAGCGCCTACTAAAAGACTCCCCCAACATCCGCCTATCCCTGGATCTCTCTTTTCCCTATGGGAAGATTTTCCCCTCCTCTGTATTCTCATATGGCATTTGCACCCCATTTATAGCATTTATTACGATCTTACTTTTATTATTAAAGCTACCTCTGCATGGAAATCTGTCTCTGCTAGACGGTGAACTTCAGAACCTGGGATTTATCCTAGTCTTACCAAAAATAGGTTTTCCACCAATGTTGAATGAAACGCAAGCTCTCATCTCTCATACCATAAACAGCGGCCACTTGACATGATGGAAATAGAGGTAGATGGGAAATTAGGAAACCTGCGTTAGAGCCCTAATTCTGTGACTAAAAGGTCAAGGTCTTGGTGTTCTTATCCATAAGAATTATTGCCGCATGTATTCCCTTAGCTACTTTCTAGCCCCTGGATTACACAGTTCTGAGTACTCTCCCCATCTTGTCTCCTCTTTCCTTCACTGCTTCTGTCCCACCTCCTCTCCCTGAGCTATCAAAATACAAGCCTCAGCTCAGCTCTTTCCAAAGGCAGCCAGAGAGCAAAAGGCCACAGCAGTTCCCAGAATCCTGTCCACACCGGGTTTCCTGGCTCCTTCTAGAAACTGCCTAGTTGGCTAAGGCCTGAGAAGGAGAGAGGTGACAGAAGAAGGTGTTACTGGTGGTTGGTGATTCCATTCAAGATTTCCTTGCCTTCAGATTCCAAGTGTGAGGCTGGCCCTTTTGGTGACTCCTCACTCTTCTCAGGACCTAACTGATAATTGTGCTTGATATCTAAATGTACTTGATTAAACAGCTTTATTGAGGTATAATTGGCATACAATAAGTCATATATATTTAAGGTGTACAGTTTCGTGAGTTACAAATACATCCATGAAAACATCACCACAGTCACGAGAGAGAACATGCCATCACTCACAAAAGTTTCCTTGTGCTCTTTTGTAATCCCTCCATACCACCCTCCCATCCCCAGGAAACCACTAATTCCCTTTTTGTCACTAATTTAGTTTGCGTTTTCTAGAATTTTATGTAAGTGGAATCATACAGTATATGCTCTTTGATGAGGGTGAGAGGGGCCTGGCTTCTTCTATTCAGCATAATCACTTGAGATGCATCCATATTGTTGCATGTATTCATTCTGTTTTCTTGCTGAGTAGTATACTTTTGTGTAGATAATACCACAATTTGTTTAACATTCACCTGTTGATTCATGTTTGGTTGTTTTCAGTTTTTGGCCATTACAAATAAAGCTGCTTTGAACATTTATGCACAAAACTTTGTATGGACATGTATTTTATTTTCTCTTGGATAAATACCTAAGAGTGAATGGCTGGGTCCATAGTAAATGTACGCTTCACTTGTTGAGAAGCTGCCAAACTGTTTTCCAAAGTGGTTTTATCATTTTAATTTCCTATCATCAGTGTATGAAAGTTCCAGTTGTTCCACACCTTTTCCAGCACTTCATGTGGTCATTTTTCTGAATAGTAGGCATCCTAATAGGTATGTAATGATATTTGGTTGTGCTTTTAATTTGCATTTTCATAGTGACTTATGATATTGAGCATCTTTTCATAAGCTTATTTGCCATCCATTTATCTTCTTTGGTGAAATGTCTGTTAAAATTATTTGCTCATGTTAAAAAACTGAGGGTTTTTTTTCTCAATATTGCATTTTGAAAGTTCTTTATATATTCTGGATTCAGATCCTTTATCAGATACATGATCTACAGTATTTTCTTCTAGTCTGTGGCTTGTCCTCTCATTCTTTTAACAGTGCCTATCAAAGAGCATAAGTTCTTGATCATGAAGTGTCTAGTTTATCAAGTTTTTATTTTATAAATCATACTCTTGTGTTTGATTTAAGAAACCTTTGCCTAACCCAAGGTCACAACAATGTTCTTATTTCTTTTAGAAGTTTTATGGTTTTAGGTTTTGTATTTAAGTCTGTAGTCCATTAAAATTCTTATTTTGAGAAAATCTTATGCTAGCAAAAAATAGTACGTGAAATTCCATATGCCCTTCACCCAATTTCCCCTAATGTTAACATCTTACATAATGATAATGCACTCCTTGAAACCAGAATATTAACATGGGTAAAAGACTGTTAAGTAATTTTCAGACCTTATTTAAACATTGCCAATTATCCCACTAATGTCCTTTTTCTTGTACAGGATCCAGTCCAGGATCTCACATTACATTTACTTGTCATATCTCCTTAGTCTCCTCAAACTAAGATAGTTATTCAGTATTTCCTGAGGAATATATGCCAGTTATTTTGTATAATGTCTCTCAGTTTAATTCTATTTGATGTTTGCTTATTATTAGATTAAGGCTATGTGTTAACAACTAATTGATATCTATGATTCATTTTGAGTTACTTTTTGTATATGGTGTGAGGTATGGATCAAAGTTCATTTTTTTGTATATAGATATGGAATTGTTCCAGAAGCATTTGCTGGAAAGACTATCCTTTATTGAATTGCCTCTGCACCTTTGTCAAAAATCGATTTAAGAAAAGGAAAAAAAACCCAAAAACTGACCATATATATGTGGGTCTATTTCAGGATTCTCTTATTTTTTTCCACTAATCTGTTTTTCTATCCTTATGTTTTGATTACTATAGCTCTATAATAAGTCTTGAGATTTGGTGGCATAAGTCCTGTAGTTTTGTTTTTACTATTTGGTTTTTACAGTTGGTTTGAGCTATTCCAGGTCCTTTGCATTTCCATATGAGAGAATAAGCTTGCTGACTTTAGGAGAAAAGCCCACTGAGATTTTTTAAATTGGGATTACATTGAATCTGTTGAATGACTTTTGGATAACAGACATTTTAACAATACGGAGTCTTCAAATCCACGAACATGGTACATCTCTCCATTTATTTGTCGTCTTTATCTCAGCAATGTTTTATAGTTTTCAGTGTGCAGATCCTTTGTCAGATTTACTCCCTAAGTATTTCATATTTTTGATACAACTGTAAGTGTTATTTTTAATTTCCAACTGTTCATTGCTAATATAGAAATACAATTGATTTAGGTATATTGCTTTTGCATATATTTGATTTTCATGTATGAGATTTAATTGCTATCTTCTTAAACTTACTCTGGTTGTTTAATATTAAATTCAAGGCTCTTGGGCCAAAATTTTAGGGAAGAAAAAGCAATATTTACTATAACCAATGCTTTGGTACAGCGCAGGATACTTTCTTCAACAGCTTTGCCAGAGACAGACTATGGGAGGGCACAGCTGGCCTACCCAGAAGGATAGGAACCCAGATCTCAAACAGCCCCGAGTTGCCCTTGGAAAGAGCCCAGACTTAGGCTTGGGGTATTCTTGTAGCTCAAGAGGAAGAAGGTCTGTTCCTTTCATGACTTGCCAGGGATCTTTTATCTATGATTAATTCTTTTCTAACTTCTTCTCTTTTTCAGTCTGTACTGTTTATTGTAATGCATTTCTTGTGTTTATTCCCATCCCACCCTCAATGCAAGGCAAGCTTTCCTTTTATTTACCTTAAAACAATCTCTCTTTAACTCTATAAATTACATGTGGTCTAAGTATTTAGATAATTTAGTAAACAAGTCTGTGTTTAACTTATCCAAAATTTTGATGTCCTACATCATGAAAGTTTTTGTGCTGAAGTAAAAAGAGCATTGAATTTGGAATCCAATGAATTCCACCATCTAGCTGTGTGGACTTTGGCAAGATATTTAACCTCTCTGAATGTCTTATCTGCAAAGTGGAGATGGTAATGGAACATGAGAATTATGCAAAAAGAAAATAAATATTCAGTGACGAGATGAATCAGAGTATCTCTGCCTCCTCTCTGGTTTGGAGAGCCCCAACTGTTTGGTTAGCTCTCACGGGTAGTATCGTTACCCCTACTGAACACTGCCTTTCACTGGATCTTTTGCTAGTCCAATGAGGCCTTCCAAAGCCAGAGTTCTAGCTGTGGACATAACAGTTTTGAACCAGGGTAGGATCATTCATCCACAAATACTGAGTACCTTAGAGTGGGCCAGAAACTGACTTAGACACTTCATTCATTCATCAGAAAGAAATCATTAAGTGCCTACTATGTACATCACATGAATTATCCCTAATACTCATAACAATTCCATAAAATAGGTATTTCTAGAGTGGAAATAAAGGATGCAGCCCCTATTCTATAGGCATTCATGAGCCAGTGAAAAGCAGGCAAGACATACTATATGAAAAGCTGCTAGAAATACAAGACAAACTATAAGAGATGTCAAGAAGAGACACAAGATGAAACAGCCACATGACTGTTAAAGACAGATGCTGTTCCCTCCACCTAGAAGTCTGCCCCTCAGTCCCCTCCCTCTCAACCTTCTACTCCTCCAAGCACCAACCAAACCATCACT